TATTCCATCCATAAAACATACAACAGGTAGATCAACCTAACCAAATAAGAAAGTATTAAAGCAATAAATTAGTGTAGTAGGAAACATATAATCTTAAAATCTATGGTTTCATAAAATTCAATGAAGAGATGGTTTTATTATTGGTTTGTTAGAAAATAGGGAATAATATGGGTCTTTGTGCCTTATGCCATTGAAACCATTGAAGGTTAACACAATGACCCCTTTTCCCCTAAACCTCAGCAATATACACCTATATATAAATTATATATATATATATTTCTTCACTCCTGAGAGGAAAAAGATGTTAGGGATCAAACACACATGTACACACACACACTCATACACACACACACACACACACACACACACACTACACACTTATTTTTAAGTTATGGTAGATCCCATTCCAACTCCATGACCTATTAACTAGTAGGCTAGCAGTCAAGTGTAGTCTCTAGAATGACACTTGCCTTTAAGTCCTGGCTCTGCCTCTTAAAAGTTATATGATCTTGCATATGCAGCATACACAAATGCTTTTATACATGGGAAAATGTGTATGGGAGTCATGTAAGTCACATGTTAGCATGGCTATTTTAAGAATGTTAAAAGAAATTGTCCCCAATTCTATGGGAAGAGAGTCTAAGGAGCTGTCTTCCTGAATTTTTGCCACTGACAAATACCAGATTTAATGATTCTAAGGATTAACCTAATTAGACATGAGTATAGATGCAAATCAACAGGAGACCAACAAGGAACTTATTGTTGAAAATGTGTTTACAGATGGCAGATGTAAAATATAGAGTTTCATTGAGTGACACGGTACAATCTCACATACTCAGTTGCAACGTGCCTAGATCTCTGATTTAATACAAACAATTTTGCTACCAGCTGGCACAAAGTTGACTCTATTTGACAGATGGGTTTCAACTTATTCTTTAAGTTTTTGCAGACTAGAAAGTTTTCAGGGTGTCAGTCATAGTTTCTGAATATGCTGTGCTCTTCAGCTCCTTGTTTTTCATGTGGACCTGGGGATTTAACCCAGGATCTCACCTTGCCAGACAAGCAATCTACCACTGAATCACCTTCATTTCCCTAGATCTTCCAACTCCTTTCTTATACAGACTACTTTTTAAAGAATCATCACCTTTTATTTCCAAATGAGTATACCTAAATATAGTGTATTCAGCAAACATATGGGACCACTAATTTCAATTTAAGCTGGCTCCACCATAAAAACAAAATCAACAATTCAGATGTCCTGTATTCCATTGAGAATTATGCTGTATAAAAATATAATACCCTCCATACAGTACAATCTTAAAAGCAGAATAAATTGTTTTTTAAAATGTATAATTTATACAAAATTGAAGAATGTTTCATATCAAAACTGAATTTATTTTAATAAAATATTTTTAAAAATTATAAATACACACCCTTGGCTAAGCTTAGAATTCCCTGACTTTGTAGAAGTGTTAATGTGTTCATGGAAAACATAAACACACAATCACATCACACACTGAGCTGTGACTCTGGAGACATGTATTCTAGCTAAATATCCAACAAAATTCATTATATTACCTTGCTGAAGCATAGTTTTTCATGAATCAAATAGACTCATGTGTAAGTCCTCAACGTGACATTTAGTAGCTTTATAGTATTGGGTAAGTCAATTGCTTTGAGTATCTGTCACATTTGTAAAATGGAAAATAATACTAGAAATTATCTCATAGGCAAGATGTGGGGTTTTAAATTGATAATGTGTATAAAGTTGATGGCACAATGTCTGGCACTGATGCTGGCAAGGTACTTCACTTCTCTGGGTTTTTGACTCCTCAGTGTGTAAAATGAGGAGACCGGCTTATTATTAGAGAATTTCAAATTTCAACTCAAACTCTACAACTTAAATAAAAAAACTCCAGTACCTTCCTGTCATTCAGATAGGAATTATAAAAAAATCTTAAAACACAAAAAATATAATCCCAATTTTTATCTTTTATTTTAAACTCTCTAAAATGAACAGTATATTTTTAAGCATTGTTTTCTATCCAGAGTGTAATCAATTTTGTCTATTGGTCTACATGTAAAAGTCCTACTAATTACTATACTGCCTACAAGGTAAACCAGCTTAAATGGAATTTATATATATATAAGGTCAAGTAGAAAGGATTTCCCATCATAATAAACAATATTCATAATTCATTTATAATAATTTATTACAGCTATTTTCGAGGGTTGGTTGCTTTGTATTCATATTCCTAAACCACAAACTTTGATGTAATTTTGGGATGTTCCCTCAGAGTGAAGCAGTAGCTCAAGTAAAATCTATGAAAACCTGCATGCTAAATGATGACTACAATATCACTCAAGTAAAACTTGAATTCTATGGAACAATGCAGATTGATGCTCAAGAGTTAGGAAAGTGACCACCAAACTATTATGTAATGCAAACATATAAATTATCAGCTGTGAATCAAAGAATAAACAAATAAAAATTATCCAGGGGTCATTAATGTGAAATAGCATTTGAAGTTATAATGCAATAAAAAGTGAGTAAATAGTATATTTGAAGAAACATGTAGCAATGTCATCACATAGAAGAATTGAAAAATGGAATATTTGTAAATGTAGCACTTATCAAACTGAAAAAAATAGAGACAAAGTCACTTCTGGGCTAATATTCCTTTTGTCTTTTTATAAGGACATGACACATTTGGAGGCCACTCACTACATAGAGATTTTCCATAATGCCATTTGCCTGATTTACATTCAGGTTTATTTAGGCACTGGAAAATCATTCACCTGACCAAAGATGGATAAGTTTTCACATGAATAGAGTTCTTTCTATAACAATATTACTTCACTTCCCAGGAAATTTGTGTCCTAGGAAAAAAAGAACTTAGATGGCTATAGCTATTTTTATTAGCCAGCCAGAAACTGTGGACAGATGATAAAGAAGTAGATCTATCTCTCTCTCTCTCTCTCTCTCTCTCTCTCTCTCTCTCTCTCTCTCTCTCACACACACACACACACACACACACACACACACACACCCCAAAACATAAAATGACAATAGAAAACTGGCTATAAGAAAGTGACAAATATAAGAATTTATGTGACAATTCTAAGAAAGGTAATCTTAACACCTCAAAACAATCAATCTATAAGCATAGTTTGAATTAGACTTTAAAGGCATTTATGAAGATGTATACCTTGAGTTTCTAAAGTGCATAAGATTTGAATTATGTAGAAGAGATGGTATCCTAGGTGAAGGGGATGATAGTTGTATAAGGAGTAACATTATGTAGGTAGATTGTTCAGGGGCCATTAAGAACAGTTGTGCTCTGAAGAATAAAGTAAAATAAGGTTCCCCTGGTTCACTGATGCTATATTATGAAGTCCTTTGAAATCCAAGTGGAATTTGTCTTAGGACAATAGAAAACAGAGATCCAAGAATACTTTGGTTAGAGAAAATAGTAATGAAATGCGTTCACAGATCATTAATCTGGCGGAATTACTAAGGACAGAGGTGAAGGCTGAGTAGAAAGCTCCTTTAGTGACTGGAGGGTTAATGAGAGTTTAGATTGTAGGGAAGGGGAAGGATGATGTGAGAGTGCATTCAAAGGAAATTTTGCCCGTATTTGATAATGTCTTAATTGTGAGAAATGGAGAAAAATCCAGATCCTTGATTAGGTATCTATGATCAGATTGTAGAGGTGAATCATTAACCATGTTCTACAATTTTCCCACCAAGGACAGACAAGTAGGTTGTTCTTCATAATAGCTCAGTAAAATACCTCTCCAAATGAAGGGGTGTTGAACAAAATCCCTCAAAACAGGATGTGACTTCTGTGGACACTAAAAAAAGGGACAGCACCAAACTTGAAAGAGAGACTAAATATTTGTGAGAGAATTCCAAGAAAGAAAGATAAAAAGGAAATTTTCTTTGAGTCTCCACAACAGACTTCACTCTGAGTCTCTCCAGAGTTTAACCTTCAAATCAATGAATGTCACCACAAATCAGAGGTCCTTAAAGATTAAAAGTTATATTTATTTGAATAATTAATGCATTTTATTTCTCCCCAAATAATTTTTCTTCTTTTTAAAATATGTTTTAGTTGTAGATGAACAGAATATCTTTATTTTATTTATTTATTTTTATGTGATGCTGAGGATCAAACCCAGTGCCTCACACAGGCTAGGCAAGTGCTCTACCACTGAGCCACAACCTCTGCCCTCAAATCATTTTTCAACTAAGAATTGTCTATTCTATAAATTCTTCTTCAAGTTCTTTCTGTCATTTCAATATTAATATCTGGAGATTAAAATTTTGCCTTCTCAAATTTACTAAGTCCATTTATTGGGCCCAATTCCGGGGCTGGGTATACTCAGTATGCCAGATTAAAAGTAAAGGGCAGCTCCCTCCACATCAGCAGGCGATTAAAAACATCCCAAGGCCAACTCCCTAACCTTTCCCACATTCAGCCCAGAGAGGGCTCAGCCCCACCCCCTCCAGCGAAACGGAAAAGCGCCTGCGCAAACTCAAAATCTATTCTCCTCACAGTGAAACAACACCCCCCTGCCCCAAGGTTCTGATGCGCAGGCGCAGCGCCCTCCGTGCAGCTGAGTGGGGCTGAGTAATCTACTGTCCAGTGAAATCTAGAAGTGGTAGAATTCAACCCCCTCCTTTCTTTGAGGCAGAGATGCCACTTCCTCCTCCTACCCGGCCAGAAGTGCATCCCAAACATAGCCCTCTCTCGGAGCAAGGTACTGCACTCTCTGGCAAAGACCACTGTATCCCTAGCCTCTGCTCGGTTTTAACCTCAAACTGCCGCCAGCCTTTGATGGTAGGGTAGAGGCAGTTAGCTCTCCAAAAGCCGCACCAATTTGTTGACTGCCTCTTTAGGCCACTGAACCTACGGGCACCCCACGGGGCACAGTATCATCACGGTGCCTTGCCCGCCCTCTTTCGCCTTTCACAGTCACCCAGGTAGGGTGCTTACCTCGGGGCGTGGTGCGGTCACGGAAGGGGTCAAAGGATCCCAGAACTGGCCAGTGCTGAGGCAGGCGGATTCAGCGAGATTTTTCCTGGGTCTCCACTGCCGCCTCAGACAATGAAATCAGCGTGTCCGATCATCAATTCTCATCATGATCGTGACGTCACAAAAGACAGCGGCCAATGGGAACCCGAGATCAGCTCCGGACAGTCCCTGGCCTCAGCCCAGAACCCAAGAGTGGGGAGGGGGAAACAGAGATGGCTGCCTGCAGTAGGGCTGCCTCTTCCCTGCATACATCAGCTGGACCTATGGCCAGGCCTCTCTGTACCTCTTTCTCTCTGAATAGCTGTGAACATCCCTGTGACTATAGTAGTTACATGACAGACATTTGAGCAGGTGCTGCCTGGTCTTTCAACTTGAGATTGGTTTTCAGTGAAATTGTCCTACACTACCCAAATCAAGTGATACCAGAAAGAAATGCAGTCAGCATTCAACTGACAGGTAATTCCATTCCGTTTTATTAAATGCAAGATCATGTCCATCTAGTTTTTGGAACTTTCTAGTAAGACTGAGTGTCGTATTATATGTAATTGGTTCACTGCATTTACTGAAACAAGAAATTATGGGTTTCCTTCACCTAACCTCAATCCCTATTCTGTCAGAAGTTACCTGGGTGATCTCCATTACAGGGAAAAATTGAAGCCACATGTTGCATCAGTCAACACTGCACAACACTGCACAAATTTGTTGGATGCCATGAGAGATGGTGAATTCATTTGTTCTCTGCAATTATAGAAGTTGTAACTTCATTTGGAAGATAATACTATCTTTATGTAAATATTAACAATGTAATAAATTGCATGATCATATGCTCAGTCATAAACTACAGAAAAGGGCTAGATTATTTTTTGTCTGGAGACATCAGTAAGGTGGGAAAGTTGGGGCACATTCTGTAGTTGGAATTTGACTACTGAATTGGAGACAATGGAAGCCCATGTTTAAAGGGCAAGAATAGGCAAAGGTACAGAAGTACAAATGTATATATGAGTAGGGCCATGATGAAGCCAGTTTGACAAAAGATGGCATATTTTGAGACTAGTGGGAGATAGGATAGGCTGATAATAAAAGCCTTTGAAAATAAGCAGACAACTTTGATTTGATTAGAAGCCACCAATACCCCTAGGATAAGAGACCACAATCCTCTACATTCAAGGATCTACAAAGCAGCTTAAGTGATTTTCTTCTAACAAAAATCAATTCATGCTCAGCTCCATTGTCCAATGGCTTCCATTCTCATACTATGCTTGCAAATTTCTCACCATGTGCTCAAGGTCCTAAATGATCTGACCTTAACATCTCTTTGACTTCACCCCCTGTCATTCTGCCACTAACTCACTTATCAATTATATCACCTTCTTTTCATTTCTCAGGCTGATGCCCACATCAAAGAACTTATACTATATTGTGCCCTCTGATATTTGTATGACTTACTCTTTCACTTGATTCAAACCTGTGGTCAAACCTCTGTGAAGAGATGTTCCCTACTTAAAGGAAATTCCTGGACACAAAATAGACAAACTAGTATTTCTTGAATGAATGAGTGAAAGCAATTTTTTTTCTAGTCATTAATGTACATTTTGGGTAAGATTAGGATAGACTGGAATGAGATAAAGCAGACAGTTGTAGAAGTAATCCAGCTTCTAGATCAGTCTGTTAAGAGTAGGAATGAATACAAATAATAGAATCTAAATCATTTCAAAGAAGAAATGATAAGGGTGAGTGTGAATAATTAGGAGATGACCTACTGATGATTAATTAACACATTTATAAAGTATTTACTGTGTGCTTGGAACTGAGGTAATATGAGAAAAAAGAAGAGCACATCTCCTATCCTTGAATATTTCATAGTCTAACTGGAAGAGAAGACATATGTAAAGCCAGATAACAAAAAAAGTTAATTAAATTCCTTCGGCTATTTTTCATCTTTTCTGTTTGCAATCTATATCCAACTCATCAGTATATTTGAAGGCTGTACCTTCAAAATATATCCCAGATCTGAGCATCCCTTACCTCTTCCTCATTGTCTACTAGGCGAACGTCCCATCCCCTTTAGTTTGAATTACTGTGAAAGCCTAATACATGGTTTCCTATCCTTCTTTCTTGTCCTTCTTCAATACTTTCTTTTAACACAAGTCAAAATATTCTTTATAACTTTTGAATCATGTCAAAACAGCCCCTGGCTTAAAGCTCTCCAAATAATTCCCACTAGATTTACAAAACTCATTTGCAAAAGTATAGGATTGGCAATAAATACCTATGTTGGAAAAGGTTCACTTAAAAAATTAAAAATTCAACATGAGCTCATAGAACATAGTTGTTGACCAAAATAATTCATAATAAACTACAATAATGAAAAGTTTGTATATTAGCTAAGAGTATTTAAGAGTTCTGCTGATCTCTGCTCTAGTCATACCACACTTGCTTTAATCTGTTGGTTATCTTTATTTTTAAAGAGATAATCCACCCATGGCTATGACTTCAGAAACCAGGAATTATGAGGCATTCAAAAATATATGATATGAGGCGAAACTCCAGGAACCGAGAAAGCATAGGTTAGAGAGGAGAAAACCTGGACAAGATAAAACTATCTTCAAATATTTGAAAAATTGCCGGGGTAAAGATAGATGTGACTTATTGTGTGGCTTTCCAGAGGACAGAACAAAGGCCAAAATAGATAACTGATGGAGACAAGTGTCAACTTAAAACGGAAGTGTTCAAAAATGATAGGTACTATTTTCTAGAGTCAAAAGGCCTAAGTCACTGGGGATGTTCAAGCATAATGACTATAAATAAATCAGGAATGCAAAAGACTTACTTATAGTTAGTGACTACTAAAGTTCAACATGGAATTTACTAATTTTCAGTTAATATTAGATGGAAATTCATCAGGAAAATGCCTTCAAGGCAGAAGTGGACTTAGCCTTTCAGGTTTTGGATTGATGGAGCTGAATGGAAGGATAATTCTAGGTTTCATCACCAGTAATAGAAGACAATGAATTTATTGATCTCTTATTCTTCAGTAGATCAGATATAAATAAAACATTTTAACAGTGAATTTTGTGTCAGCATAGGACTTCATACACAAAAGAAAAACTTATTTTTCCTGATTATTTTTTCTGTTAATAAGCAATTCATTTTCAAGTTCATTTTAATCAAGCTAATTGTGTACTGATATATTCAAGACCTGCATATTTACCTTGACCAACTTCTGGAAGCTTGTAGAATCCTATTGTTTTTGAAAGGAAGTTTCCTATTTGTAAGTTTTAATTGCCTTTCTTTAAATTTGGAATTGGTGCTCAATCAGATGGGGCATTATAGATACTTTTGATAAAGCGACAAAGCCTTGCATCTTTTTTCCAGAAACATACAAACACAAACATAATGATACTTTTATGGCACCGGAGGATCATACATAAACTTTGTGGAGTAGGTAGTTTCTAGGTAAATAAATATCCAGTTAAATGATTTGAGACTATGTATAAAGTGAAATATTTTATCATAAGAGTGTTAATAGTACAGATAAATTGTTTGGAAAGGGTTTCATTATTTATTTAGCAATATGAAGTGTAAGCTGTCCCAGAATGCCTCAAATCAGTACTGTCTTTAATCAACTCAAGGATATCAACCAAGAACTCATAATTTGATCTGAAGGCTTATTTATCCCTAAAGGAACTAGAATATCTGAGGAATTGAGGAGACCAGTAAGGTCCTCAGTTCAAATTAAGGGTAATACCTTGAGGATACCGTTGACTAAAAAAGCAAAATGTATTTGAAAAAAGTGCCAAAATATGTTGCTATTCACATGGTTACAAAAGAAGGCAGCAGAAAACTAATTATGTTAGACCAATATTTGGGGTTAAATGAGTGTTGAGAAAGAAAGGGGAAAATTAACTCTTAAAAGTTCACAGTAATTTATCAAGCTTTTGAAAACTTACTATGAACTAAAAATTTAAAGATTTGAAATAGCTGTCTTGGAAAAAATTAGATGAGAGAAAATACTGCCTCATTTTTATATTATTTTGCCATCATTTTATGGATAAGGAAAATAAAATACAAGGAAGCACAAAGTGAATTATCTTAGTACAATTGATCAACAATTTACTAAATGATAAATTTGATCAACTAGAGTTTATAATAATTTGAAAATGACTATTAACAATCATGTTATTTTTCAATCCTAGTGAGTGGATAAATATTGAAGATCTATGGTTTGACAAGGCAAGGCCTGTAGCTATGTCAATGTGGAACCAATGATCTGAAACTATGGAACAAAGTAGTCTCATATATAGAAATCAGTATATAGAACAAGTCAATAAAGTCCAAATTATAGATAGTTGGGGGGAAAATACACCAAGTGATACATGTAGCAAAATTCACAACAGCTAAGATTTGGGGCCTAGAGATGTTCAGACTGTATTACAGAAATTAATGATTGAGTTAAAGAAAATAAACATCAGAAAGCAGGCAAATTATTGGGAAAGCTGCATTAGGATCTAAAATAGTAGGCAAAAATTCAGGCAGATGCATATGTAAAGAACAAACCAAAAAAAAAGGAAATTAGAGATGAAACAGGATAAACTCAGGCCAGGGAAACATGATTTATCAATTAAATAAGTGTGTGGTCAATGGGTAAAACAAATCAAGCAATAGTGATGTCATAGAAGCTTAAAGCACAGAAAATGAATAGGTAAATGGACAGATATTAATACCATGGTGGATCTTGATCAGTGAAGCATCTCTTTAGCTTTGTGCTTGAACTTTAATAATCCTAGTATGACTAGACAGGGCTCTGGAGGTGGAAGCAAATAATTGGGAACACCTGGCTGGAATGACCTGCATATGGACATAAAAGTAGCATCTTCTGGGATCATATCCCAACAACAAACTTAGAAGTATGAAGTTCTTTAAATATAATATAAAGGTTCATAAGATGACATATTTCTTTCAAAGTTAAATGATAATCATTTTTTTATTAAGGTAAATTTCTAAATGACACATAGAAAAAACATTTGTCAATAAAGTTTCATGAACCATTTTCAGAATTTTATAATAC